CAGAAAGAAAGATACCACGTGACCATCTCTGTGGATGCAGAAAAGGCATTTGACAAAATTCAAGAGTGTTTCCCGTAAAAACTCAAACCCGTAGTTGAAGGAAGCTAACTCAACATAATAAAAGTCATGTATAAAAATCCTACAGCTAACATCTTATTCAATTATGAAAAATCTTAAAGCTTTTTAAGATCCTGAGTAAAGCAAAAATGTTCACTCTGGCCATTTCTATTCAACATAATGGTAGAAGTCCTAGCCGGAGTATTTAATAAAAAGAAGGAAATACAAACTGGAAAGGAGAAAGTAAAATTATTTATTTGCCAATAACTTAATCTTATATGTGGAAAACACTAATGATGCCATAAAAAACCCATAATCTGTTACTATAAACAAATATAGGAAAGTTGTAGGATACAATGTCAACATATTAGATGAGTTTAATTTCTATAAAATAGAAAAAGGAAAATATTCTTATATTATGATCAGAACAGATAGAAGGCTCATATCCTGAAAGCCATACAACATTGAGGAGAGAAAGGAAAGGGGACATAAATGAATGGAAAGACTTTTTTGTTCATGGGTTGGAAGACTTAATATTGTTCAAATGTCCATAGTACCCAAAGTGATCCATAGATTTAATATAACCCCTAGCAAAAATCCTTGTGACAAATAAAAAAATAGAAAAGTCTAAAATTCATATAGAACCACCAAGGATTCTGCATAATCAAAACAATGTTGAAAAATAAAAGATGAGACATTATTCTTCCTGGTTCCAACACTCTTCACAATATTACAGTAATTCCATCAATATGGCATTGGCATAAAGAAAGGAATGGAGCCCAATGGAACAGAATAGAAAGATTGAAAATAAACTCGGGCAAATACACTCAACTGATCGTTGACAAAGATGCCAGACCTACACAGTGGAGGAAGTTTAGTCTCTGTAAAAATGGTGCTGAGAAAACTGGATGTCCACAGGTCGAAGAATGAAATTGGACCCTTGTCTTACAGCATATACAAAAATCAACTCAAAGTGCAATACAATGTTGATAGCTGAAACTAAAGAGCTTCTAGAAGAAAACATGAGGTGGGAGTAGGCCGGAGGAGCGCTTTCTGATGCTGGTGTTGACAATGTTGTTTAGGACATGCAAAGCACAGGCAACAAAAGCAAAAGTCGATGCTTGAGATGATGTCAACAAACCTGCGCGCAAAAGAAAACAATGTGAAAATGCAACCTGCAGAATGAAGGGGAATATTTTCAAACTGTATACTTTTTTTTTTTAACAGGCAGAGTGGACAGTGAGAGAGAGAGACAGAGAGAAAGGTCTTCCTTTGCCATTGGTTCACCCTCCAATGGCCACTGCGGCTGGCGTGCTGTGGCGGGCACACTGCTCTGATCCAAAGGCAGGAGCTAGGTGCTTATCCTGGTCTCCCATGGGGTGCGGGACCCAAGCACCTGGGCCATCCTCCACTGCACTCCCTGGCCACAGCAGAGAGCTGGCCTGGAAGAGGGGCAACCGGGACTAGAACCCAGTGTGCCAGCGCCGCTAGGTGGAGGATTAGCCTATTGAGCTGCGGCGCTGGCCCCAAACTGTATACTTGACAAAGGGTAATATCCAAAATATGTTAAACTTTTACAACTCGATAGCAGCAGCAGCAGCAGCAACCCCACATTTTAAAGTGGAGGAAGGGCTTGAATAGACATTTTTCCAAAGAAGAGATAAAAGTGGGCTAACAAGTATATGAAACGATGCTCAACATTGCTAATCATTCTTCAATGTCCTCCATCTGTCAGGATGGCTATTATAAAAGCCAAATTGTGTTGGCAAGAATGTAGAGAAATTATAAACCTTGCGTGCTTTTGATGGGAATACAATATGGTGGAGGCGCTCTGGAAGACAGTACAGAGATTCCTCAAAATATTAAAAATGGAACTCTTGTATGATCCAGCAATCCCACTTACAGACATTTATCCAAAAGAATTAAAACCAGGATCCCGAAGATGTATTTGCATTTCCATGTTCATGGCAGCATTACCCTCAATAACCAAGATGCAGAAACAAACTGGCAGCGGAACAAGACTAAAGCAAATATGGTGTAAGCATACAGTGGAATATTATGCAACGTCAGGAAACAAGGAAATTCTGCTATGTGTGACAACATGGATAAATGTGGAGACCTTCTTAAATAGGTCACAGAAGGGCAAATACTGCACGGCTACACTTACTGAGGTATGTAAACTAGAAGTCGAGAGTGGAATGGTGGTTGCCAATGGATACAGGGAAGTCGCTGTTCAGTGGACTTAGAGTTTTGTTTGTGTAAGATTAGTGTGTTCTTGGGACCAGCGCTGCAGCGCAGCAGGTAAAGCTGCCACCTGCGGTGCCGGCATCCCATATGGGCACCAGTTCGGGTCTTGGCTGTTCCACTTCTGATCCAGCTCTCTGCTACGGCCTGAAAAAGCAGTAGAAGATGGCCATAGTGCTTGGGCCCCTGTGGGAGAACCAGAAGAAACTTCTGTCTTGTGGTTTCAGATCAGAGTAGCTCTTGCTGTAGCAGCCATCGGAGAGTGAATCGGTGGGTGGAAGACCTCTCTCTCTCTCTGTCTCTGCCTCTCTGTAGTTTTGCCTTTCAAATAAATAAATCTTTTTAAAAAGGTTATTATGTTCTGGAGATCTACTACACAACATTATGGCTATAAGTGACCATAAGGTGTTGTACATGCAAACACTTGTTAAGAGGGTAGAATTTTTGTTAAAATGATCATGCCACAGGTAAAAAAAAAAAAAAAAACAAACTAAGCTATTGAAGAATTGTGAAAAGTATGTGTGTGTGGAGAATTTGTTTTGTTTAGAGTTTGGTTTGCTTGTTTGCTGCAATAGAAAGCCTCTGATGTGGGTCCTGTCCTAACGAGGGCGGGATTTATGCCCATGGACCGTCGGTTTCTGACTGGCTAGGAAGCATTTGAGAAGCAGGCAAAAAACCTAAACTTGATGGTACCTCCTCACTGCTTGGAAACTTCTGAAATGCATCATCCCTTTGAGTTACAATCCTTATTTAAGTCAAATTGTTTCCAGGTGATTATTGGTATGCTGACATATGGGACGGATTAAATAGCCTCATCAGGTGACAGAAAGCAGGTGCATTTTTATATATTTGGAGGATAAGTCTCAGAACCAAATGAGGAGTAGCACTGACACTCAGAGATGAAAGGTGGGGCAGGAAGGGAGAGGGAAGGGCTTCAGGAGGGGGAGGGCTGTAGTGGAATTACTCGTAGCCAGCGTTCATCTGTCATCTGCGTTGGGGGCAGCCCTCCGTGTACTGATGCACATGGTTATACCTGATGACCATGCTTAGGGAGAGAGGCTGCAGTCTTGAGGCAAAGCTTGTATTTCTTTTCTTTCTCCCTCTCTTCTTTTCCAAAGATTTACATTATTTACTTGAAAAGCAGAGCTACAGAGAGAGAGAGAAAACAAAAATGAACAAGCGCTTTCATCTGCTGGTTCACTCTGCAGACAGCCACAACTGCCAGGACTGGGACAGGCTAAAACCAGGAGTTTGGAACTTTTTCCTGGTCTCCTGCAGGGGAGACAGGGACCCAGGTACTTGTATTGTCACTTGCCTTGCCCGGAGCATGAGCACGAAGCTGGATCAGAAGTGGAACAGCGAGACTAGAATTGGCTCTCCTGTTTGGGCCATTGGCACTACAAGTGGCAGTTCAGCCTTCTTCCTCCCCTTTTTCTTCCTTTTTTTTTTTTTTTCCCCTGTAAGATCTACCCAGGTGTGTAAACATTACACCTGTCACCTTGACCTCATTGTAGAACCATCCTCCAAGCCTGGAACCAGCACGAAGGTGTATGAATGTGGCCAGTGGAGAAGTGAACACACCAGTGTAAAGTGGGAAACACAATGTCTTTTTGGCTAAGTGATCACTAGGATGGCTTTGCTTAGAATTCTACACCTAGGAAGTATGTATAGACTTTCACTTTTTGCTCTGATCTCTCAGCAGGTGCATAAGCTAGAGCTTCTCAGAATCTCCCAGAGTGACACTTGGTTGAAATGTCACTCACAGCTTGTGGTTTGCACTTTTTTTTTTTTTAATCTTCAGACAGCAACCAGCGCAAGATGATGCTGTGGGGCAGGAAGCTGTCATCAGGAAGAAGCTTCAAGAAGCTAGCCAACGGTGGGAGGTCGCGGGGGAGCTGGTAGGTTGCTCCTTGACTGCATTAGATCTGGGGGAAGTCTCCTTGGTGTGCTTCAAGTCAAGAGATAAAAATGGAGGAACCCAAAAAAAAAAAAAAGCAAAAGAGGAACTGTGAAGCCCAGTCCCTAGCGACCAGCAGTGAGCGGAGGAAGTAGAAGGGGAGCTGTCGGAGAGGGGGTGGGAACAGCCTGCTGATGAAAGAGGCAACTGCAGAGAGAGGCGACCTGACGTATCAGGACTCTGGTGGCTGTAGAAGCAGCTCAGGCACCCCCAGCCCATGCAAACACAGGATTGCAGAAGTCGAGTCGAAGCTTATCACTTCCCTGAGAAGAAAAGCACATTTTCAGTTCTGTGTGCCTATTAAGAGCGAGCGCTCGGTAGCTTTCGTCCCTGGCCACGCGGCTGAAATCCAGCTTTCACTGTGTGTGTCCAGGTGGAGGCTCGAGATGAGGCAGCCCAGGCTGCCGGGGAAAAGGCGGAATCTTTGCAGCATAAATTAGAGGAAGCAGTTTCCGAACAACGGAACCTCCCAGCTATAAATACCGAGGGATCGAACACTTGCCAGATACTTGAGCAGAAGAGGAGAGGACTGAAAAGTGAGTAGCAATTATCCATTTACACTGCAGCTCAGGCCCCCTGAAGTGGAGCATTTTTCTAGATCCCAGCCGGTTTTCTAGATCCCAGCCGTTTTTCTAGATCCCAGCTGCTGCATGGTTGCCGAGTTGCTGACACTGGAATGCCTTGGAGGGAGTCAGGAGAGGTCTGCCCAGGGACTGGGATGGGATTGCTCCATTCCTCTTCCTTTCTGGTTGATTGTTAAGAGCAGGATGTGTCTATGACTGTTGCTTGTTTTCAAATTAAAGAAAACGTCTCAATATCTCTAAAAACAACCAAGGAGAGAAGTCTTGTCCACACGGGATTAATGAACTTCCAGATTGTTTACATGTCTTATCTTGATTTTATTAAGTAGTTTTTATCCCTCATATGGTTAAAAAAAAAAAAAAACCCTCCCTACATCATCTATTTTCTTTAAAGTAAGAGTTTTAAGGCGTTGAACAAAACTATTAATTTAATATGTATCAAAATAGCAAATATGTATAAAAAGAGTTTTAAATGTTAAAATGAGTACAGACATATTTTGCATTTAAAAAGTGGAATATTTGTCATTTTTCTGCATTATATTAAAGGAGAGAGGGATTTATATGAGAAGACAGTTGTCAAATTACAGATGTCTGATTCTTACAATTCTGTTGCAGTTTAGAAGTACAGTAGGGTGAAAGGAAAGCTTGGTGAAAGCATTTTTCAGAGAACTGCTTTTGTTGAGCCGGCTTCTTCTAGGGGGCTCCACGTTCTTTCTGTAGAAGGTCATTTGATGTGAGTGATAAACAACTACACGCGAGCTTAGGTGAAGCTAGGGATGACCATTTTCAAACTTGGGTTTGCTTTGTTTTGGTTGTACCCTGGCTTCTATTATCTGAGAAAGCTACGTCAGATTTAAAGGGATCGTCTGGTTTTAACATAGCAATGGGTATTGAACATTTTATTATTTCTGGAGCTGTATGAATTCGCCAGGTTTTAAGAAATCTGAGGATCATTTTGTTTCGATTCACTCTGTCAGGCAGGGTAAGGCATGCTTTAAAGTACGTGGTCTGTATGGAGTTGTGTTGCTCAGAAAAAATTGGAGGTTCTCTCGATTAGAACGGTTCACATTGACAGAAGAGCACCTGGCGTTCTAAATCTGCTTAGGGCATGTCGGCTTAGACACTCTGCACACAGGGCTACCCCTTGGGCTCCTTTGGGTTCAGCAGTTTGATACCCCGTACTCTTACCAGCTACTAAGGATGTATTTCTTACCCCTCCCCCCTGGCCGCTTTAGAGCGTGCTTGGAGGAGTCCCTTTTGTAGCCCATCCTAAAGTGTGTGTTCTTGATGTTAGGAGCTTGCTGTTGTCTTCCGGTTCATCTTTAGTGGATACTTGTTCAAACATTACAAGCAGGACAAGACACCTGCCCAATACTAAATGTGATTTGTTTTTTTCTGCCTGGATAAAGTGGAGTGACACTTCCTTTCTGACCTGGGTCGTGAAATCCCTTACACAATAGAGTTTTGCTCCCAAGACCATCTGCTTGTGAAGATGGGGATGAGGGAAACCTTGGTAGCCTCTGTTTTCTGATGTTTTCCATAACAGATCGTGCCAACGTCAGTAAGGTGGGACAGTTAGCACACAAACCATCCACACACATCCCACCACGACCGCTACTACCCCGTGCTGTTTCAGTTCTGAGTCAGACATTTGAATTCTGAGTCAGAAAACAAAAATATTTAAATGCATTTAGCTCTTCTGGAACTCTCTGGCTCGTTTAATAAATGCATGAAGTGTTTAGGACGATTGTTCTCTGATTCATCTAAGACTCATCAGCAAATTGTGTGGGGTTGCAGTGGGTTTGTCCAAATGTTCAGGCCAGTGACGATGCACATCATGTTCACACACTGGAGCTAGGGAGTTGTTTGTGACTGTGGGCTAGACATCCTGGACGTAGTGATGGGTAAATAATATTGTTCAGGTCGTCAGCTTGTGCCAGGACTGGTCTGAGAGACAAGGCATGCTTGCCTCCAGAAAATGTGCCATTAGGACTTTTAAATTTCTTGAATGGCTTACATATGTATTTTATTTTTCTGCTCCTTGATTTTTTTTTTAAATTTTCTAAGTATCTTATTATCCCTGGCACTGTTGGAGTATCAACCATCACTTGTTGTTCACTATTTCTCATCCCTGTTTGACATGAAACCTTCATTAAGTCACTCACTGAACAGATAGTGAGGGATTTACCTTTGGGGAATGAGTATTTGCTTGATGAGATCTTGATGTTCCTCTATGTCGTAGCTCCTTATTGGGTAGTATAAGCATATGAACCTCACAGCTGGAGAAGACATTCGCTTAGACTGTTTCACCCAAAACTCTGTTCCATCTTAATCTTAGCGTGGAGGATTTGAGGGGGAGGATTGCGATGCTTGGGATTGAAGGAGCTGGGGGAGGGCCAAGGAGATAACCAAAGCCAAACATCATCCGCTCAGATGGGAAGGGATAGGGGCCCACGCCTATCTAAATGACAAATGTAGGTATAGATGAAATAGTCTGGAACTTAAGAGGGTTTAAATGTGGGGGATTCGAACTCAAACCAACCTGTGTTCTTGTGCCAAGGCTGGAAAAAAAAAAAAAAAAAACTGGGCCAAGTTGGGCAAATCACCCTACCACTGGCCTCAGTCTCCTCTTGCGTCGAATGCCTTTGTTGTGAATTATAAATCAGAACAAATGCAGAAGGGTGACCAGTGCGGGAGCGTGGCTGGGAAACGGGTTCTGCCGGAGCCTGTTTCTTGCAGACGAATCGGCTCAGTTGGGAGCAGTAAGTGGGGAATGGTGGACTGCAGTGACAGGCACGTTCTAGTGTTTCCTACAGGGCTTGCCTGGGAATGGGGTTCGGACTGGTAGGAATGGAGCTGTCAGCAGCTTCAGCAGGAGAAGAAAAAGCCCTGGAGTCTTTGTTTTGAGAAAATAAACAACACGTGTTTGCACCTGGCCTTGCCCTTGCCTGGGAAGCTCCCCCACAGCCATGCAGAGCCCTTGGGGTCACGTGGCAATGGCAGGCCCTCTCGTGTGTTCACCAACACAGCCCACCAGCTCTGTTCCATTTTTTTAAGAAAGATTATTTATTTGAAAGGCAGAGCTAGAGCGTGAGAGACAGAGAGTGTGTGTTCTTCCCCCCCAAATGTGTGCTTCACTCCCCAAATGGCTGCAACAGCTGGTGCTGGGCCAGGCTGAAGCCAGGAGCCAGGAGCTTCCTCCAGGTCTCCCATGTGGGTGCAGGGGCCCAAGCACTTGGGCCTTCTGCTGCTGCTTTCCCAGGTACATGAGCAGGGAGCTGGGTCAGAGTGAAGCAGCCAGGATTCAAACCAGCGCCCCTAGGGGATGCAGGTGCTACGGGCCACGGTGTAACCAGCTGTGCCACAGCACTGGTCCCACTGTGCCATTTAATGTATCACTGGCATTTCCACTCTGTTTCTGTGCATTTGCAGCCCACTCTGAGGCATTTTAAGAGCCTGTCTGACCCACATTCTCTTCCTAGGAACTAAGAATTTACTAATTGTGTTTGTTAGTATTGTGGTTACATGTTACATATACAAGGGATTCTTCAGAAAATGTGTTGTATGAGAAAACGCTGCATAGATTCTTAATTTTATGTACCAAGATAAACATAGCTTTTCTTACATGCTCCAAGCCTGTTTCCTGCCTAATATTGAGAACAAAGTCATATCAAGGCATGAGCTAATAGAGACAATTCTATAAGAGTGATTCTCTTCGTAGACTGAACATTCGAATGGTCTGTATTATTACAAATGACATTTGGTTTCTCAGCATGTTTGTTTCAACATCTAATTTTATTCTTTAATTATAAACTTTGAACTCCATTTTACCATGAACCTTTAGAAGAAATACGCTTGTATTGTTAATTGGTTTCTTCTTAACACTATTTATCTCATAAACCCTGTGTTATTTTTATTCTTGTAATTTTTGGTCTTTTTTTAATTCTTATATAGCTAATGTCTCATAAAATGTTCAGTTTATATGCATTCCTTAATTAGATAAGTATACATCAAAGCATAGAACTTAAAATTTTTTATTTTTTAAAGGTTTATTTATTTGAAAGGCAGAGACACAGAGGCAGAGAGAGAGAGAGAGAGAAAGAGAGAGAGGTCTTCCATTCGCTGATTAACTCCTCAAATGGCCATAACGGCTGGAGCTAAGCTAATCTGAAGCCAGGAGCTTCTTCCGGGTCTCCCACAAGGGTGCAAGGGCCCAAGGACTTGGGCCATCTTCTACTGCTTTCCCAGGCCATAGCAGAGAGCTGGATCGGAAGCAGAGCAGCCGGGACTCCAACCAGAACCCATATGGGCTGCTGGCACTGTGGGTGGTGGCTTCAGCTACTCCGCCTGGTGTTTGACCCCAGAACTTTCATTACCCCCAGGAAGTTTGTCTGAGCTTCCAAGTCAAGCTTCTCCCCACATCACCACCAGCACAGGAGCAGCTTCTGGCTTGGTAGGTTACTTTGGCCTGCTCTGGAGTTCCAGTAAGTGCTTTTCTGTGTCTGTGCTTCTGCTCAGCACAGTGTCTTTGAGGTTCATGTATGTTGTTCTCATCAGTAATGGTTTTTTGTATTGTTGAATTGTATTTTCTTGTATGAATATTCCACAGTTTAATTATCTTCTATCAGATACCTTAAGTATTTGCAACTGTGGGTTGTAATGGATTAAGTTACTATGAATATTTTAGTATACATACAAGGGAACTTCAAAAAGTTCATGGAAAAATGGAATTAAAAGATCAGTTCATTTTGGTGCAAAATATTTTGAAATCCATGCATATGAGGAGTGCTTAAGAGGTTCGGCGCCAGCACAATGGGTAAAGCCACTGCCTGCAATGCCAGCTTCCTGTTTGGGCTCTGGTTCATGTCCTGGCTGCTGCACTTTCAATCCAGCTCCCTGCTAATGGCCTGGGAAAAGCAGCGGAAGATGGACCAAGTATTCAGACCCCTGCACCCACGTGTGAAATCTCGGGTGAGTGCCTGGCTCCAGGCTTTGATTGTCTCAGCTCAGGCTGTTGCAGCCATCTGGGGAGTGAACCAGCAGATGGAAGACCTCTCTCTCTCTCTGCCTCTCCCTCTCTGTAACTCTAACATGCAAATAAAATAAATCTTAAAAAGTTCATTAAAAATGTGTATAATGAAAAAACTATGCATTGATTTCAAAATTTATTTGCACCAAAATAAACTTACCTTTTAATTACATTTTCCTTGAAATTTTTGAAATGCCTTCTTACATTTTTATTTCATCTGAACTAAATATATAGGAGCCAAATTTTTAGGTCATAGCATAGTTTTAGTTTTAACTTTTTAAGAAACTGCCAAACAGCTTTCCATAGAGTTGAGAGCATTTCACACACCTACCAGCAGTGTAAGGGTGTTCTCAGAGTTCCGCTTAAAGATTGTTCCATGGGGCCGGCACTGGTTAAGCCTCTGCCTGTGGTGCCGGCATCCCATATGGGCACCGGTGCTAGTCCCAGCTGCTCCTCTTCTGATCCAGCTCTCGGCTATGGTCTGGTAAAGCAGTAGAAGATGGCCCAGGCACTTGGACCCTTGCACCCACGTGAGAGACCTGGAAGAAGCTCCTGGCTCCTGGCTTCGGATCTGCCCAGCTCAAGCTGTTGCAGCCATTTGGGGAGTGAACCAGCAGATGGAAGACCTCTTTCTCTCTGCCTTTCTCTCTCACTGTCTGTAACTCTACCTCTCAAATAAATAAGTAAAATCTTAAAAAAAAAAAAAAGTTCCATCAATCATTTCCATTGTAGCCACTCTAAGTATTTTAGTGTGATTTTAATTTGTGTTTTTCAGATGACTAATGATAGCAATTTTCATATAGTGGTTGGCCACTGTGCATCTTTGCCTATTTTAAAATTAACTTGGTTGTCCTTTTATTATTGAATATTAACACGTTGCATGGTATTTCCCTGTGTATTGTGAATAGCTTCTATTAGTCTGGTTTTTAATGAACTGTTAGTCTGCTGCTGTTAATGTACAACTTTATAGAACATGAGGTTTTCTCTGGTCACATGTGTTATGTTACAAAAGTCAATACTCCAAAATTGTCAGCCATCATTGATAGTTACTGTTACAGCTCTAAAAATGTTACAGTTCTGATTTTTATTTGTCAATCAATGGTGGGCCTTTGCCTGAAGTGTGGGCAGTCAGGTAGCAGGTTGTTTTATCACAACTTCCTTCAAAGGCGATACATCAAAGATACCTGGTTCATTCTATATCACAGATGGCAACAGTCGGGGAGACTGTGGCCATTGTTTCATTTGCTTCCTTGTGGAGCCTAAATGTCCTCAAGATGTTGTAGGTCCAAGTCCAGACACAGAGAGGAGAATGCAAAGGTGAATGCAAACTGGGGTCATGGCCAGGCCAGCTTGTTTGGCCATATGGAAAATATGGAAATAGTTGCCTCTCATTGCACGAAACATCTGTTGAGCTAAGGTTTTGAATTTGAATGTGTTGAGCTAGACTTTGTAAATCCTAAGAATGCCCGTTGGGAGAGCAGATGTGCAGTGGAGGCTATGTGAGGGAAACGCCTCATTCCTTCTGAATCGTGGGCTTCGTTCGGGAATTCTAAGCCAGTACTGAGTTCTGTGTTTCAGAGTTATAGGACCTTCAACAACGTATGGCCGCTTCGGAAAACTTTGGTTGCTGTTCTTTGGCTATAAGTCAAAGGGAGCACAGGCCTTGCTTATTTGTACAGCTAATAGAGAGAAGCTGGAACAACTGGGTCTTTATAAGACTTCTAAGAATTATGGAGAAAAAGATTTTTAAATTACTTTAAAAGGTCAGAAACACTGTTTTAAAATACATTTTTTCTCACTCCAGACCTAGTGAGTACTTTGTCAAGTGTAGTTGAAAAATGTTACATTTATTAAAAGTTCTTATAAAATACAATGTTTCCATGCATGATTGAAGCTCTTACACAGTTTTTCACTGAAGACATTTTAAAAGTTAGATTATTGCTTTTCACAAGTTAGAGCATTATTTTCATGGCTCAGACTTTCTTCAGGCTATTGAGATACAAAACTGTTGGTCTTGAAAATGAGAAGCGCCACATTTCTGTGTGTTCTTGGACACCAGAGTATGTGCTGTTAATCATTTTCCTGGCTGTTAGTGATAAAAGAAGAAAAGTGATAGCTATTAATAAGCCTCCATCCAGTAGAGCTCCCTACTCTTGTTTAATTTTTGCATTTAATCTTCTGTGGGCTGAGAAAGTAATCAAGCTTGTGAGAATTCTGTCTAAATTCAGAGCCCACTGTCGGAGCCCAAGTGTGAGATTTGCCACGTGAGAAAAGGGCACAGATAGCAGGATCTATTTTGGTCTTTGAAAAGACTGGAGCTTGCTTGCTTGTCAGTGGCTGTATTCCACAGAGTATGTGTTGTCGAGTAATGTTATATAGACATCGGAGAGTTACAGAGCCGTCTTTCCCCATGTCCAGTATTTCAGAGATAAGAATTTGGAAGTCACTGGGAAGCAGATTTTAGCTCAGTAGAAAGAAAATTTTTAATTTCACAGAATGGTACTCTGATTTGAGTGTGGTCGCGTGAATTTCATCTCAGCTCCCTGATGTACCACTGTCGTTTCAATCCGCTAGACCTCCTTGTTCTCATGAGCTGCTCTGTTCTTGTGGGTTTCTCTGGCTCCAGTTCTAGGGCTTGGGCATAGGCTTATTATAAGACATTTCCATGTTACAGGGAGGTTGGACTGGTTGACCTTTAATGTATATTCTTAATTTAAGATTGAATGATCCTAATCCTTACTTAATGTATACTAAGCTGATCTTCTGTATATTAAGATAATTGAAAATGAATCTTGATGTGAATGGAAGGGGAGAGGGAGTGGGAAAGGGGAGGGTTGTGGGTGGGAGGGACGGTATGGGGGGAAGCCATTGTAATCCATAAGTCGTACTTTGGAAATTCATATTCATTAAATAAAAGTTAAAAAAAAAAAGATTGAATGATCCTGCCACTTGGATCTATCATGGTTAATTTTAAATACCCAAGGTGAATAATGGCCTAGCTGTTCAGAAATTTGTGGGTTTTCCATTTTAACTTGAACCTAGGGATTCTGCCACAGCATGTGGGTATCTTAACCCGTGTCTGAATCGCTAGGCCAAACTCTGCTCTGGACCCCAAATGTAAAGCCATGAAAATTTTTTTCAAGGAATGAAATAAATTAAGGGATGCGGGTAAAAATGATCCTATTGAGTTGGTTGTAAACTCTCTTTGTAGCAACAACTGAGTCACTTCGAAAGTGGTTGGCTGAAGGGCAGCGAATCCATGGCTTGTTGTTGCAGGTAAAAGCTCTCTGTGATACGTGGGTAGTGACTGTGGGCAAGATGTCCAACATGAACAAGACTTGGAAGCTACTTTACAGTATTTCATGATTTGAGTCATTCCCCTAAGTAACCAGTGAAAATGCTTTTGCAGATTGGTTCTGTTAGACATTCAGCAAAACAAAAGAGGAAGAACTGCCTAGAGTGGGTGGCTCCTTTAACAACATCTTGCAAAGGGGAGCTGTTTGAGAATTGACTTTGCCTGGCCACCTTATCTATTCATGAAGATCCAGGTTTTTAGTCTTAGGTGCCTCTTTGCTGATTGTAAGAATGCATCCATCCTTCATTGTATAATCAAGTGTTGAAACCAATGTCAAGTACTCTTGCATAGGTTTTCATGGTTATTGTCCCTTTTTTTTCTCCTCCTCTCTCTTACCTGAGTTAAACTTTAATTTCTTTCCTGCCTGGATGTCTCAAGATACCCATGGCAGAGTTGAACGTGTTTCTTCCCCATTTGGTACTTGGTCAATCTCCTTTTTGTTCATAAACAGAGAACATAAGGAGATGGGGAGACTGGCATTGCAGGAGGGAGGTGGAGAAGGAAAGAAAGTAAAGTGATATTTGCATGTATGTGTTTCCAGGCTATGGTGCGGACACTTCTGTTTAAGCAGAAAAAAAAAAAAAAAAAAACACCATTATTCATGTGAAAGATGAAACTAGGCAGAGTGCCTAAAAATCTCCCTCAATAAACCGAGTTGGAGAAAATCGCATATCTGAAGACCATTAAATCATTTCAAGAACACCCATAAACTTTCCTCTGAAGAATATTGTCTGTCTCTTGGATTGAGGCCGTAATTTTACAATTATATACATTTCACAGCCTCCACTGTGGCCCCCCTGAGCTATGCCTCCAACAAGCTCCTTTGGCCTCTGTCTGAAGAGGACAGCAACAATGCTCTGTAGTTTCTTGTTCCTGCTCTTTGAATTTCATTTTCAGATTGAGTAAAGGCGAAAATAGGGGGGTACTTTCAAAAGTTCTTGGAAAAGTGAAATTAAGAGGTAAGTTTATTTTGGTACAAAATAAGTTGAAATCTAGTTTGCTCATGAAACACATTTTCCACCAACTTTTTGAAGAGTTGTAACGAACGGTTTTGCAATGCTGAGCACAGAGCAGAAGACAAGAAAGGATCTGTTTTACCCACTTTAGGTAGCCTCCTTTCCCTCAAGTGTCATGTTCTGTGTTTTGATTCTTTGGTCATTTAGTTTCGGCAATTCTCTGCCATTTTTCTCGTGACAGAGCCTTTTAGATGAGGAATTTACTTGTTGTCATTCCCTGTCCTGCACAGATAGAAGTCAACAACCTCTTGAAGAACAATTGGTAAGTGTGAGTTTTCTGAAATTCTTTCCATGTGAATGAACGTCCATGCCAAGATATAACTAAGACCGGCACGTACGATGACACTGCAGAACGTGTGAGGGAAGATGGAATTAGCAGATGGTGACTTATGTGCTAGAAATTTCCAAATCCACACGTAGTCTTTTCGTAATAGACATTTCCATAAGCTTTTTGACGATCTCTCATGCTGATAGCATTGGAACGCTAAACCACACTGCTCTGCTTTGAGAGATGATCAGCTGAAGCGATGGACACCTGTTTATTTCATCATCCGTATACACCTGCTCCCACCACAAAACCCTGGTTGGTTCTAAGAGCAGCAATATTTATAAGCTGTTCTTGACTGTATCACAAATAATTACATCAATAAACTTGTCCCTCGCCCGTTAATCTTTCTTCAAAGCCTTAGTTTATATCAAAGTGTCCATTATTTGGAATTGATGATGTTAGCAGTCTGTTAGATTACTGAACTGTAATTTTTCAAAATAAGAATGCTAATGACTCATACAACATACTTTTTGATAAAGGCATGAAAGTTTCTTTTTACAAGATATCATTTATTTTCTCTGTAACCTCTCTCACAGGGTCATTTGACTCCAATATATTCTTTGTGCCTTTGAAGATGACGAGAGTAGATTATGAACTACGTTATGTAATGCTGCTATGGACAACTAATAATACTTGGTTTTCTGTTTAGAAGCACTGTTGCCACAAACTACTTAATGATCAAGAAGGAAGAACACATCTGATAGCCCTGACCTTGAAATACACCTGCTGGGGTACACCTCTTCTGGGTGAGCCTGAATGCCCTTCTGCACCTGCTGAGACACACGTGGGGGTGGGTTCTTTTTGAAAGGGAAAATAATTAGTTATATTTGCATAATTGTTGTACTTGGAATTCAGTCAAAAAATACATATATATATACAGACATATGTGCGTGTGTGTGTGTGTGTGTGTATATATTATATATATATATTTAAGCACCTGTTTTGCGCAAGGTACCACATCATGTATTACAAAATTAAGTCCTAAAATGGCTCATAGGTGAGTGGGGAGCCAGCTCTTCATAGAACTCCATAGAACAGGGGAGAGTTGAATCAGCTCTTGAAAGATGGGTTGGATCTGGAAAAGAAAAAAGCATGAAAAAGTATTCCAGTGTGAGTGACGTGAGCAAAGGAAACAGAACAAGAAAAAAAAATTAGAATGCAAAAGCCTCAAGTGTTTGATGAATACTCAAAGCTGGAGGAGTCATTTATGAGATGAGAATTTGGGTTTTGATATGCTACAAAGGAAGTTTGGAGAAGGCAAAGCAGATGGTGGGTCAAACTGTGCAATGTTACTCAGTGCCAGCATGGGAGAGAGAGTTGCACCTTGGGACACGCTCCCTGGTAGTGATAGCTCTCGGTACAGCCTGGATGCAGCTGAAAACAAAAGTGCAAAACTGCTTCTAAAATGACAGAAGAAATGCAGTGATGTGGTTTGTGCATTGTTTAGGGAAGTAACAACCACCACCACTAATGGCTTGTCCATTTGTGTCAGACAGTAAATCAGTGCTTTATGGAGATTATTTTATTCGCTATATCTCAGTGATAATCAACAGTGACAACATTGAAGAGTACTTGTTGCATACCAGGTGCAGTTCCATGCCTTGAACATAAGTTTTAACTCATTTAATCCTTAGCACACGAGGTAGATGCTAATATATTCCCATTTCATTTACTTTATTTACTTGAAAGAGAGATCTCCCATCTGTTGGTTGACTACCCAAAGGCTTGCAACAGACTGGACTGGGCCAGGTGCAGCCAGGAGGCTGGAACTGAATCCGTATCTCCCACATAAGTGGCAGGGACCCAAGTACTTGAGCCATCACCTGCTGCCTCCCACGATGCACAAGGGAAGGAAGCTGGCACTGTGAGCAGAGCCAGGACTCAAACCCAGGCACACACATAGGACACGGGCACTGCCAGTGACATCTTAACTGCTACACCAAACCGCTCACCAATATCCATGCTAAAGGTGAGCAAACAGGAAACTTGAGTTAATGGTTTGCCTCAGATCACATACTGCCTTATGAAGAAGGACACTGAGGCTCCGAGTGGCGTGGGTGTCCTGAGAACACACAACCGGTATGTAACAGAGCCAGCATTTGAACCAAAAAATTGGGATGGGCTCCAAAACCTATGTGTTTTTCCTTTAAACTCTGCTGCTTCCTCTTCTCCACGGCCCACACCACAAGATGGTTTTGCAGCGAGAATGCTTTGTCATCCCCATCTGTTTCCCACAGCACTCCTGCAGCCTCTAATCACAATGTCCAACACTTTGCTCTTCAGCCTGCTGTGAAGTTGTACTGTAAGGGGCCAGACAGTCAGTATCTGAGGCTGTGAACCATTCTGTTCTTTCTGCAGGGAGTCAACTTCGTGCTCCTAGCGCACCAATAGCAGTGGATAATGAGCAATCGAATGGGTGTGGCTGTGTTCCAATAAAACTTTATTTCTGAAAACAAACAGCTGGATGGAGTTTGGCTGCTGATGTCAAGTGTTGGCTCTTCTAGTTGTTGAAGGCTTTCTGTCCTTCCCTGTCTTTCTCTTATTCTTCACACCCATGTGAATAGATACTAAGGGGATTTATATGTGGCCAGCGTTGTGGTGTAGTGGGTTAAGCTGTCTCGTGCAGCACTGGCATCCCATATGGATGCCGGTTCAAGTCCGGGCTTGCTCCACTTCTGATCCAGCTCCCGGCTAATGCACCTTGGGAAGCAATGGAAGATGGCACAAGCGCTTGGGTCCTTGCACCCATGTGAGAGCCCAAGAAGCTGCTCCTGGCTCCTGGCTCCTGGATTTGGCCTGACTCAGCCTGGGCCATTGCAGTCATTTGGGGAGTGAACCAGTGGATGGAAGATCTCTCTGTCTCTCTCTCTTTCTCTCTCATTCTTTCTGTAACTCTGCTTTTCAAATTAATAAATCTTTTTTTAAAATAGAATAAAAACACAAAGGGGATTTATATGAAAGTATTAATAGAATTCAGCTTTCTACTATTTCAGAAATGGTCCGATCTCTCAAGGAGTTATGCTTGACCACAGTTTGAACTGGAAAGTAACTTGTATTTTTTTCTCTTCTGTTCTCCTGCATACAGATGCCTTGTGTCTGGATACTCTTACAATTCCGAGGGTGGAAGTGACCCCTTTTCTTTGTGTAGCCCACCAAATCCACGCTATATGTGAAAGACTCAGATACAAGGAAATACAAGATGGTGCTCTGGGTGTGATCAGACGACACAAGTGAGTGAAAAGAACAAACTGCGTTCTATTCTTCATGGATGCCTGTTCACATGGCCTAACATTTTATCAGATTTTCATGTCCTGAGATGATAATATCTTTGTTGTCCAAGTTTTCTCACTTGCTGGAAAATTTGCAATTTTACTTATTTTTTAGAGATTGATTGATTTGAAAAGCAGAGTCACAGAGAAAGGGAGAGACAGAGAGTGAGAGGGAGAGATCTTCCATACACTGGTTCACTCCCTAGATGGCTGTAACTACCAGGGCTGGGCCAGGCAGAAGACAAGCACCAGGAACCTCTTCTAGGTGTCCTATCTGGGTGCAGGGGCCCAAGCACTCGGGCCATCTTTGGTTGCTTTCCCAGGTGCATTAGCAGGGAGCTGGATCAAAAGTGGAGCAGCAGGACTCAAACCAGCGCCCATATGAAATGCATCCTCTTCTGTGTTTGGATGTTCATTTATACTCATCTGCCTTTTTAAGTCCATTGACTGAGCTTCCCCTGGGAAAAACAGACATGTCAGTGGAGTGTGTGAGGACTTTCCACCCCAGGAACTCTCCTTTCTGGATTACGGGTGAGGAAGCAAGACTACTTTGAATTGCAAATTCCTCATTTTCATTTTTGGCCATGTTTTCTTTTGTTGGCACTCTCTGGCTCTCTGATATGAGAGCTCTCTTTTCCTATGTCTTAAGCCATGATGTAGTTAGAAAATTAATAAAACTGGGACTTGGAGTAGGAGAACAGGAACAGTGTTATACAAGGTCCTTAAAGTAGTTTGGGGGTGAGTGGAGTAGCCATCAGTATGTGACTTGGGATGCCCACATCTCAGACCAGAGTGCCTGGGTTCAACTCCTGGTTCTGCTTCCAAGTACGGCTTCCTGCTAATGCAGCTGCTACGCTGTAGCATGCGATGTATCAAGTATTTGAGTCTCTGCCACCCATGTGAGACACATGGATTGAGTTCCTGGTTCCTGGCTTTAGTCTGGCCCAGCCCTGGCTGTTGTGGGCATTTGGAGAACTGAACCAAAAGAAGGAGGTCTCTCTGTTTCTCACTCACTAGTGCTCTCTCTGTGATGAAAATTTTTTTAAAAATTTTTACCAAGTTTGTGGAGGAGTGAAAATAAAAGATAAGCTTATATAGCTGCCAAAATATTTTGAAATACATGCATCGTTTTTTTCATAACTGTTTTCTGTGAGCTCTTTGAAGACTTTCCATATGCATGGATTTCAAAATACTTTTTGCATCAAAATAAACTTACCTCTAAATTGCAGTTTCTGCAGACTTTTTGAAGTTCTCTTGTAGCCCATTATCTGCTAAGGTTAGCAATTTTCCTCCGTAATAACAACTCTACTTTCTGCTGCTAGGTACCCAGGCCCCACAGGTGGCCCTGACCCAGGAGCAGATCTTCCAGGTTGTGCCAGGATGAATGATGGCCTTTTAAGTATGGGAGTGAGTACTGACTAGATTTTGGTTTCATATTTCCGCATCCTTGTCCTCTTGGCTGGGTATTCTTTTTCTTCAAAGCATTAGGGAGAAATTTACAGGAAGCATTAATTCAACAGCAGAATACTAATGAGAAATGCCAGTCCTGAAGTCAGGAAATTAACAATCAGTCATCTGGGGAACTTTGTCCCTTGTGCAGTTTAAACTCTGGGTTGTATATTTGATTTTTCAAGGCTTAAAACACAATATTTTTTCCTACAGATTTATTTTATTTTATTTGAAGGCAGCATGACAGAGATGTCTTCCCTCTGTTGGCTTGCTCTCCAAACAGCCACAACAGCTAGGGCTAAGTCAGACCGAAGCCAGGAGAACAGGACTCCACACAGGTCTCCCACAGACGTGGCAGGGACCCAAGTACTTGAGGCTTTATGTGCTGCCTCCCAGGTGCATGGACAGGAGGCTGGATTGAAAGTGCAGAGCCACTGGGATTCAAACCAAGCCCTCTGCTAGAGTACTCCAAGGAGTGGCTTCACCCACTGCACACAATACCTGCCTGAACCACACGATTTTTTTCTCTTGAAGTTTCTGTAGATCATTTCTGACATGGCTCTTTTAAGACAAAAGTCAAGGTGTTGGCAAGGCTGCCTTCTGGGCCAGAGGCTGTGGGTATAATCCTGCTGTAGCCTTAGGCAGAACTCAGTCCTGTATGGTTGTGGAACTGCGATCCTCATTTCCTTTGGTTTTTATTAGTATGAATTTATGTACACTGAGGGAGCATAACGCAATATTTGAATGCACGTATACTGATCATAACAGGATATTAGCATCTCTGTTCCTTGTATTGTCTTTATGTTTGTCAGATACAATCTCCTCTCTTGCAGTTCTTCACACCCCAGATCTTTGACACATTGTTGTGAACTACAGTCCCCTCACCGAGCTGTTGAACACTAGAACTTAGACCTCCTATCCAACTGTATTTAGGTACCCATTACCTAACACCCCTCTAATAATCGCTGTTGTTAACCTCAGACTGACTTTGTCTTTCTATATCTGGCTTATTTCATTTAATGTAATGAAATCCAGTTTCATCTGATTCACTGGAAATCTCAGGGTTTCATTCCCTTTTTATGGCCAAATAATATTCTGTTGTGTATACAAGAGCACTTCAAAAATTATAATAAAATGGAGTTAAAAGGTCTGCTGTGCTGACATTGAGGATTCATGAGTTGAGCCTGCTGCCTGCGAAACCAACATCCCATGTGGCCGCTGATTCGTGTCCCCACTGCTCCGTTTCCAATCCAGCTCCCTTCTTATGGCCTGGGAAAAGCAGCATAACATGTCCCACGTGTTTGGCCCTTGCAACTCTTACGGGAGATCTGGATTGAGCTCCTGCCTTTGGCTTAGCCCAGCTCTATCTGTTGCAGCCGTCTGAGGAATGAACCAGATGATGGAAGATCTCTCTCTCTCTCTCTTTCAAAATAAACAAATAAAGCTTTTTAAAAGCAGTTGATTTTTATGCTAAGGTTTAAGTCCATGCATAATAGTTTGTTGTTTTAAAGATTTATTTTTATTTGAGAGGCAGAGTTACAGAGAGAGAAGGATAGAGAAAGTGAGAAATCCTCCATCCATGGGTTCACTCCACAAATGGTCACCATAGCTGGGGTTGGTCCAGGCCTAAGCCAGGAGCCTTATCCAGGTCTGCCACATGGATGCAGTGCCTAAGGACTTGGGATGTCTGCTGCTGCTTTCCCAGGCTTGTGAGCAGGGAGCCGGATCAGAAGTAGAGCTGGAGCTCGCTCGAACTGGCTCCCGTATGGGAGGCTGGCATTGTAGGTGGTGATTTAACCCATTCTACCGCAATGCTGGGCACCATAATATTTTCATACTACACATTTTTTGAACTTTTTGAAGACACTTCATATGGATTGCATTTTCTTTGCCACTTCGTTCACCTGTGAACACCTAGGTTGATTCTATAGCTTGGCTGTTGTGAATTGTGTTGCAATGAATGTGGGAGTGCTGGTGTCCTTTTCAATATACTGGCTTCATTTCCTTTGGGTATATACCCAGGAGTGGGATAGCTGGGTTACATGATTGATAGGATTTTTGGTTTTTTGAGGAACTTCTCTAGTGTTCTCCATAGTGGCTGAGATAATTTGTATCTTCTTCAAAAGTGATTAAGGGTTCCCTTTTCTGCATATTCTTGCTAGTAATTGTTATTTTTTGGCTTTTTGATACTAGCCATTCTAACTGGAGGGAAATGGATCTCAAGGTGATTTTCATTGGCATTTCCTGGACATCGTAAGAATGCTGAGAATTTTTTCATAAATTCGTTGGTCATTTGAATTTTTGCTTTTAAGAAATATCTTCTCCCATCCTTTAACTGGATGTTTGCTTTTTTTGTTAAAATTTTAAAATATACATTCTGGATCTTAATCCTTTTTTTTTTTTCTGAAAGGTTCACATAAAAATTTATCCATCACAGGAGTTCCTTCTTAAATATTTATTTTTTTAAAAAAAAGATTTATTTATTTACTTGAAAGGCAGAGTTACAGAGGGAGAGAAGGAGAGGCAGAGAGAGAGAGAGTGATTGATTGATTTTCCATCCGCTGGTTCACTCCTCAGCTGGCTGCAACGGCCTGAGCTGTGCCAATCCAAAGTCAACAGCCAGGAGCCTCTTCTGGGTCTCCCACGTGGGTACGGGGGTCCAAGGACTTGGGCCATCTTCTACTGCTTTCCCAGGCCATAGCAGAGAGCAGGGTCGGAAGTGGAGCAGCTGGGTCTCGAACCAGCGTGCCCATATGGGATGCCAGCGCTTCAGGCCAGGGCATCAACCCACTGCACCACAGCGCCGGCCCCTGTTTTGTTTTTTTAAAGACCAGTTTCATGCTGGCGCTCCAGCTCACTAGGCTAATCCTCCGCCTTGCGGCGCCGGCACACCAGGTTCTAGTCCCGGTCGGGGCGCCGGATTCTGTCCCGGTTGCCCCTCTTCCAGGCCAGCTCTCTGCTGTGGCCCAGGAGTGCAGTGGAGGATGGCCCAAGTGCTTGGGCCCTGCACCCCATGGGAGACCAGGAGAAGAACCTGGCTCCTGGCTTCAGATCAGCGCGGTGCGCCAGCCATGGCGGCCATTGGAGGGTGAACCAACGGCAAAGGAAAACCTTTCTCTCTGTCTCTCTCTCTCACTGTCCACTCTGCCTGTCAAAAAAATAAAAATAAATAAAAATAAATAAAAGACCAGTTTCACAATTTTGGCTTCAGAATTTCCTATGGACATTTTTCACAATGACCCCAGTGCCTTCTGGGCTAAGCCAATCTCCTTTGTTCTTTGCTTGCTTTTTTGAATCTTTGGTTTGGCAGAATTTTGTCTTTAAAAAAGACCAATCGATGTTTTGATTTTGACCATGTATATGTTTTATGTATATAGTTTTACAATGCCTCTGATAGGATATAATATAGGGCCATATTTTATTTTTTTGAGAACTCTGATCTTTTATTTTTCAGTAGTGATTGACACTCAAAGAAATTTGGGTCTTGGCCAGATGATGGGTTTATACATGTT